TCTATCTATCTATCTATCTATCTATCTATCTATCTATCTATCTATCTATCTATCTATCTATCTATCTATCTATCTATCTATCTATAAACTGTCTTATCATGGGGAAATTATTTCTTCTTTATTCTAACTTATACAGGATTTTTGCTTCTATAACCTCTTTATAAATGTATAGTTTTCGATAGGATTGTGGTCACTTGTGAAATGTTGCATTTGGCCTGCAGTACATAAACACAAAACCTGATATGGATGGTATAATCTGAAGAAAAGCATTTTCTATGTTTCTCTGTGGTGTTCTATATTTTGTGGCGTTTGGGGCATGTTTGACCACAGTGTTGATTTTTGAGCCGAGATGACAATGTTTTGAATCAATAGCTTCCTTTTCTTGCAAAATAAGGGTTGTTCGGAAAGTCGTTAGAGCTATAGAGCAAGTGTTTTAATTGTAAAAAACACATTTCAAGAATAGAGTTTTTACATTTGATAAATACTGTAATATTCTGTGATTTCTGTGGAGCAAAAATGTTGCTCAGCTGACATTTTTAATAGGGACCAAAATATCATATTTTAATTTTTTTTCCTTCAAGGGCAAATTGTCAACGAAAGCAGAGATACAGTATATATATATATAAAAAAAGAAGACCCAGGCATGTTCCTGCAGGGGGAGCCTTGTTTCACAAACACTAGCTTATGCCCCGTCCAATTATGATGCTCAAGAGATTACTGCAGCAGCCTCTAAATAAAGCCTTCCCCTTCACTCAGCACTCAGTCGGTGGAAGAGCAGGAATCCACATTCAGCAGAGTTGAACTACCTGTTGCACGCAGTGATGACATTTTACTGTGTTCTCCTGCTGTTATCCGGTAAGTTGAAATGTCGTGCTTCTGATTTCACCGTGAAAGAAGGCTAAAGAATACTGAAGAAGTCAGAGTTGTTTTTTGTTAAAACTTGTTGTGAGGTGTGTTGGCAGGCAAAGCAAATAAGTGGAATAGAGTTGGACCTGATTAGTTTTGGGATTTTTTAATTACAATTAACTATTTTCTTTTACTTGTTAAAATTGTTATATAATGTTTGATTTTAACCAATTTTTGATAAAAGATAAGAGTGAGGTTAGCGTACTAGAACTTGTGGATTTGCTGTTTGTTTCCCTTTGCAGTGGGTGCGGCCCTTGACACAGCGCACACTCCCCAAAGGACCAAAAGAGGGTTACTTGAGCTTGCAGGAGCTATCAGATGCAGCACCGGGAGATCTGCTTTAAATTACATGATGTACGGATGCTACTGCGGGCTGGGGGGTCAGGGCTGGCCCCGAGACAAGGCAGACTGGTAAAACAACTGCTGACTCTCTTAACTTTTACTCACATAATACTATGTCTCTGCACCTGATGACAATGTAGACCAGAATTTAAGCAATCAGACTGGTTTGCACATGTATCCTGTGTTATGAAGCATGTAATTCAGAATCCATTAGTGTGTTTTCCCTCCTTTCTGCAGGGATGGTATGCAGACTTTATTTGACCCTCTTGGTTGAGCTCAAGTCTTCCTTTTTCCAAAATAGGTGTGAGCAGTTTCCACTTCTAACTCTGACTGCTAAACCACAAACAGTGGAGAGAGGGGTGGAACGAGTGAATAATGTCAAAACACTTGCCCGGTCCAACAGGGATTTTAAAATAGTTCTGAGATACCACACCCGGATCCTAATTACTATCTCTTTGTTTTCTATCTTCACCACTAGACGTCTTATTTGTTAAAAAACATTTGACTGCCAACTAAGTTTAGTGTAAAACCAAAGTGGTGATCCTGGTCTGCTTTTAAAATACCTGTGGTGTTCCCTTACCACCCACCTACACTGCTGTCCTCACGCAGTCCGCTCCAGACGGAGGACTTAATGCTTTTACTCTGTTGTGTCTGTAGGTGTTGCCACAAGCATGACTGCTGTTATGGAGATGCAGAAAATCTTGGTTGCTTCACCAAAACATCCCAATATCATTGGACTTGTGAGGACAGGAAAGCAGAATGTGGTAATGATTTTTACATATTCATTAAGTGAAAGATGTGTGCATAGGTGTTCATATTCTACAGCACCCCTTCAACATTAGTCTGACCCAGAAGACAGTTCCAGTAATGTTAAAGACCTCCTGTCTGGGTCCAGTTCCAAAAACACCTCAGGCAACAGTCCTCAGTGATTATAGACCTGTTGCCCTGACATCCCACATCCTGAAGGCCCTATAGAGATTTCTGTTGGTTCACCTCAGCAAACAAAGCAGCTATCAGGACCCCCTGCAGTTTGCTTTTGCAGTTGAAGTTGAAGATGCCATCATGCACCTGCTTTAACAAACCCACTGTCATTTAGACAAGGCAGACAGGACTGTGAGGATCATGTTCTTTGATTTCTCTAGTACATTTAACACAATTCAGCCTGACGCACTTTGTGAAATACTTTAGAAGACACAGGTGGAAGCATCAACAATTGCCTGGATAAAAAACTACCTAACAAACAGACCACAGCTTGTTAGACTGAATGGTCAGCTGCCTCATCAAGCACTCAGCAGCACAGGAGCACCACAGGGGACGGTACTCTGTCCATTCCTTTTTACTCTGTACGCCTCTGACTTCCAGTACCAGACAAAGTCCTACCGTCTACAAGAATACTAAGAGGAACCTGAAGTAATTGGGTGAATCAGAGATAGACAAGAAGTTGAGTACAGAGAGCTGGTGAACCGCTTTGTGGCATGGTGTGGAAACAATCATCTGATCCTGCATGTCAGGTAGATGATTGTAGATTTCAGAAGGAACAGGAACAAGTTCAATACTGCTCACATCATGGGAGAAGAACTGGAGGTGGTTGAGGAATATAAATACCTTGGTTTTCACCTGGACAGCAAACTAGAGTGGAGTGAAGTCATTTGCAAGAAGGGACAGAGCAGATTGTACTTCCTAAGGAAGCGTAGGCCATTCAGCATTAGCAGCAAGATGCTACATAAGTCTGTTGTGGAGAGTATTATCTCTTCCTACATCATCTACTGGGGTTACAGCATCAAAGCAAATGACCTAAAAACATAAAATATGACCTCAGATTGTTTATAACTGTAGCTCAAAAGCAATACTTATGAAACATGGGAGTTGGCTCAGAGCTTGTCTGCCTGGCTTTGTGTTTCCTGGACGGGGCCGCCTTTCTGCTCTTTGTATCTCTGCTTCTGTCTCCTTGAACCCCAGTTAGCCTCGGCAGATGGCCGCTCACACTGAGCCTGCTTCTGCTGGAGGTTTCTTCCTGTTTAAAGGGAGTTTTTCCTCTCCACTGTCGCTACAAGCATGCTTAGTGTGAGGGATTGTATCCAAGTCAATGAGTCGATACAATCAACTGTTTCCCTTGGGTAGAAAACTTTGAATGAATAATGTAAAGTGCCTTGAGATGACGTGTTTTGAATTGGCCCTATATAAATAAACTGAATTGAATTGAATTAACTTGGCCTTCACTGAAAAACATCTGTTTTTTTTAAATAATTCTCTACCAGTTTTTTTTTTTTTTTTTTATGCAGACTGGAATTTTTTATTTGCCCATTGCTTTTTTTTTAACCAAAATTCTTAAACTTAATCAGATTAGATGGATAGAGTCAATAAACTCAATTTTCCAGGTTTGCCTTAGATCCCTGATGCTGATTCGACATGGACTTTGATTAGGCCAGAAATATGCTTTGATCTTCACTGTGTTTTGTTCTATTTTGTTCTATTTTTCTGCATATGATTATGGCCATTATCCTGCTGCCTCTATGCAAACACATTAATATGTCCATGCATTAATACATTTGAAGTGTTGTTCTTCTCTTTATAATATAAAGAGAATGTAATTTAATCTGAAAAGGTAACTTTTGAAATCAACCACATTAGGGTATCAGATCCAGAGAGTTTGAAAAGAGATGAAGGACACACTTTCAAATCTTTATATGGAAATTCATATAATTTTCTTCCCATTAAATAGTCATTCATTATGTTTTATTTGGTTTTTCACACAAAGTTCTAGTAAAATACACTGAATGCTGTGGTCTAAACCAAAGCTGGGTAAAGAACCCTAAATCTGTATTCAAGTAAAAGCAGTACTACTTCAATAACAACACTTTTTTACCTAAGTTAAAGATATAATTAGCCATCCAAGAGGTTTCCTTTTTTAACTTTACAGTTGTGCCTACAAGTACCTGTACGGAAAATACTGTTTACTGTACACTAACTTGTTTACTGTGTGTGAAGTTGAACGAAACTAAAACAGATGGACAGCAAGCTTCATTTAAACAATATGTTTCATTGAGTAACTCTGTCTGGAGCACTGCTGATTAAATATATATATATATATATATATTTTTTTTTTTTCTTTTTTTTTTTTATCACGTAAAGATAATCATTGTTTTAGAGTAGTGAAACCTATAATAGCAAATTGTATGGTGCTTTCAAACCACTTCTAAGAGCATTTTTGTTAAAAATTGACTCAGAAATTCAAAAAAATAACCAGATTCCTCTCCCCGTTATTTAGAATATGTTGTATTGTAATGTTTTTCTATAGTTTGTTTTATGTTTTTAATTACTTAACTGTCTATTCTTTTAATTTCAGAGGATTTAGAGGACAAATGTGAGAAGTTTTTATGCAAGTGTGACAGAGAGGCGGCCAAGTGTTTGAGGAAAGCGCCATACATCAAGAAGTACGCTCTATGGCCAGATTTCATGTGTGGTAACGACCACCCAACGTGCAATATGTACTGATTCAATGCATCTTCATGTCCAATGTGCCTTTTGTGGAATAGGATAAAAAAAAAGACATATATTTTCACCATCATCTGTTTTCAATGAAACTTTGGGAAATTTATTAAGTAAAAGATTTTCTGATAACTTTTAAAAATTATTTTTTTTAACAATGAAAAAAAGAGGGATAGAGTGAAATAGAGTGAAAGGTGTTTTTGTTCACAATAGTTTAGCAGACTATACTGGTTCTGGCGTGTTCATTTAGTGCAACAGAGAAGCACCACTGGGAAAACGACACCTTCTCTGTGTTGTTTTCCATATTTGTCCCCAGGGTAGTCAGCTACGCTGCTGGAAACAAATACGCCTTTTTGTATTATTACAGACAATCCTTCCTTGTATTACTCAAAAAAAAAAAAAAAGATGAACTGCAAATGCATGCTTGTATATACTGCAATTGCCTTATATTGTAATTTTTATCCCTTCAATATTTTTTTTTACACGCTGAGGTTGTTGGAACTGAGAAAAACTTTTATATTTTAAAAGCCAACTCAGCTGCTCCGAAGTCCACTCGTTGTGCTTTGTCAGTGTTTTGAACATAAAATCTTTAATTAAAGACTTTTATTAAGCAAACAGCTTCAAGGATTCTGAGTCATCAACAGTTATGTGTTGCTGTAGAAAGGAGGGCTAGCTGCTCAGTGGTCCTGTCCCACAATTCTTGAGCCATGTCTAGCTAGTGAATAGCTGTCAGGTCACCTGATTTACATTTTTCTTTTAATCTATGATGAATTATGTTTATTTTCAGAGTTAACTTTATTCTTATCAGAATGTAAACATACCTTTACGCCACACAGCCCCACAAAGAGTGGGGCATTTCCAAAGTCACCAAACCAGTTTCAGCTTATCAGGTGTGAGTGACATCTACATGCATACCACTGGATGGTGCATAATCCTCCACCAACACAACCAGAGCAAAACATCCAAAAGTATGAGTTAACATTACTTTCTGAAAGAGTTTGCATTTTGCTTTGCTTTTGTTTTGTTTTTTGTTTTTTTTAGAGGAAGGCGTTCTTACTGATTAATCTTATCATTTTCCTCCTCTCTGCTATATAGCGAGCTGAACACAGCATTTAATCTAGCTGTCCTAGATGTTACTATAGAAAGCTGCTCCTCTTTACTAAGGAACACACAAATACACCGCTCCTTTGTTCTGTGCTCAGCTTATGTTTCTACTAAAATGAGAGATCCATGGGAGAATTAAATGAAAAGCATTCAGTTCACAGATGGAATTGGATATCTGGGTCAAGGCCTACAAATGTCTGCACAGATTCCACAATTGTAAATGGCAAAGACAAAACCATATTAGATTCTGAGTTTATTTTTTTAATTCTTGGGTTAATAGAATTTTGGTTTCATTTATTACATCATCCATTTTTTTCCTTAATCAAAAATGTTCTTTATATATATATTTCAAGTGGCACGAGAAGTATAACGCATTAAACATTTGGGATCTCACTTCTGTCTCTGTCTGATGCTGTATGCTGTTTTAAACTGTAAATGAAAACCTTGCAGTCCTGCACTTCTTTTAAGAAACCTGTTCATCAGGTCTTTAAGTATTTATCTACTCAGTTTGTTTGGCTGTATCTGGGTAATTAAATAAAGAGTCATCCCTTTTGCTCTATGAAAAATGGCAAAGTGAGGTATAGGTGTCTTGCTCAAGCAGCCTAAAACTACAGAGATAGCTCAGGATAAGTTGAGCCTCCATGAGCTTTATCAAAAAAGAAAGTTTTAAGCCAACGTAAATGTAGACAGGGTGAGACTCACAGATTAGAACTGCTTGGGTTTTTTTTTTTCCCACAAGAACACTGCAGAAAAATAGGTGCATTTTTCTTGTTTCAAGCAAGTAGGTGAGACACTTTTCCAATGGATTTTAAAATATGAAAAAAAAAAAAGAAACTACATTGCCGTATGTAAAATGTATATAATTGTCATTGACAAATCATCTTATTTACCTACTCAGATTAAGGGAAAACACATTTATTTTAACATGACTGTTCATGGTTTTTAATCCATTTCGCTTCATTCTACATTCTGATTTCATTTGCTTCAAATTAAAGAACAACCAAACTTAATTTTACCCAGAAAACGACATCCAGTGAAGTCCTACGTGGGTTAAATGCTGACATATTTCAGGCAGAACCAGGAGCCTTTAGATTTCAAATGTCACAAAATGTGAGTAAAACAAAAAAATAAATAAAATAAAAATACTTATAAAACGCTGATAGATTGTAGGCAAAAGGTTTCAAGGGAAGAATTAATCAAGAGGATGTTTAATAGTTCGCTCCAAAGAGTGATAGTATGCAGTATTGTAATGAACTGATTGCTAACAAAGAATTTTATCTCACAGATCTCTAAAACAAAAACTGTAATGTGGTCACAATAATATTAAATCATCTGCAACCCCTTTTAGAAGAAATAGCAGCCCTAAGAAACTGAATATGACAGTGATGCAGCATATCTGAAACAAAAATACAGCAGAACTGTGCGTTACCCAGGAAACTGCAGTATTGTGTCCAGTTACGGACATTTGCGGATGCATGGTTGAATTATCCATTTCACGAAACTGCAGTATTGTGTCCAGTTACGGCAGATGCATGGTTGAATTATCCAATTTACCTGATGATATGAAATTACTGTGTAAAAACAAGAAATGGCTGTATTTTCATAATTGGAATTTTATCATCAAAGCTGTCTATGTACTAGGTACTAGAAGGTACGATGTGGTTCCATTCAAAAGGCACGGACGGGGTTCGAACCCGCGATCTTCGGTTTACGAGACCGACGCCTTACCACTTGGCCACCGCGCCTGCGCCGCATGGTCACACATAAACCTTTTTCTCCCTGGTGACAGATCGCCACTAGTGATCATTTCGTTCTCTGTTGTGTCATATATATATATATATATATATATATATATATATATATATATATATAT